ATCAAAGCAAGGAACAGAATGCAGTCAAAACAATAATTCAAAAACACTTTTATGAAATAAAAAAATATTTCAGACTACCTTTTGAAAGTGCACAATGTGTACCTGAGAATATCAACTCAGAATGACCAAAATGACTTTACTATCACTAAACATTAAAGAATAAGAAGTAAAAAAAAAAGGGGGGGGGGACTGGAGTCAGTAAGGAAGAAATACAGAACTATACAGATAGGAATTAGACTCCAATAAATGAGGGATGAACTGGCAATACTGAGTTTCTCATGATATAAAAAGGATGAAGTGCATAATGAGGTTAGACCTGATAATCTCAGGGCATAAAAGGTGGCAAGACTTTTTGTGTAGAAGATAAAGAACGAGTTATTGATACTTAAAAAGAAAGGAGAATCAGACTGGCATCAGACTTACCTATTGCACAAGAAGCTTAAAGACAGTGGTATAAGGTGCCTACGCTATGTAGGAAAAAAAAGGATTATGATCCAAGAACACTATATCCAGCCAAGATACCCTTTACTGATCAAGAGAAAAGAAAGGCATCTTCACTTAAGCAAGGATTCAGAAATTATGCCACATACACTCTGAGGAAATGACTCCAAAATGTTATCAAATGTTTTTCTAGCACCTATTAAGATAGACTATTAAGATAGTCTCTTTTTTCCAGTCTCCACCACTCCCAGAGTTGTGGCTAGCAGTAGAGATGTGGCCAAACCCAATAACAATATCATATATGACCAGTCCTAGAAATGACTTCAGGAAACGTAGATCCTAAGGAATGTATATTTTGCCAACAAGCACAACAAGAAAGGCCTCAAAAAGATTCAGGCCAACATTTTCAAGACACTGAGCACCTGTACAGAGGCCAAAGAGGTGCTCATTAAGCCCAAAGTAATCAAATACAAGATCTTAAAAAGTGCCAGCCCTAAATCGGACAGGCTCACCCATACCATCCATCCCAGCTTCTAGAAGTATGCTTATTTTCATACTGTCAAGAGTACCAGGTTTAGCAACCAAACGGTGAGAGCCAAAGCCCAGGTCCCACAGAGTCCTCCCAAAGAGTCCAGAAAAAAAGGTTTTTGTCTATCAACTCTGAGGATCAAAGGATTCTACAAAACTTAGACTACTGTCTGCAGGCATCTCCTTTTGCTGTTTTATATAAATACAATACAAAGTCCCCCAACTCACCCCAAAAGAGAGAGAGAACCATACAGTTTTTAATCTCAAAATCTGTTAACATAACAAATTACGTTAATATTTAACTGTCCTTGCCTTCCTGGAATATACTGTCTTTTATATACACTGCTGGATTTATTTTGCTAATATTTTATTTAGAATGTTTGCTTGTCTACTTATGAGTAAGACTGGACTGATGTTTATAATAGAAAAAAAATGAAAACAATCGTAGTATCCATCTGTTGGAGAACAACAGACTAAACTATGGTGTAGTATGCTATGGAATGTTATTCAGCTTTTTAAAATTAATTAAAACTCCATTTACTAAACTGGAGACAGCCATGACATATTCTTAAATAAATAAAGCAAGTTACAAAAAGCCTGTGTGTGTGTGTGTGTATGCTTAAAGGTTTTTGAGCAAAGAGAAAGATGGTAGAAAACAAAGTGTTGGTTACTGCTGGCTAAACAACAAGGTCAAAGTGGAGAAGGAAAGGAAAATATTATTTTTTTCTTTATTCACCCCGGTTTGGTTACTTTAGTGGTTGCAAGCGGAGAAATACTTTTGTAATTTTTTTAAAAAAGCAGAAGCGTGGGGGGGAAGGGGAGAGATACCAATTACCTACTATAATTAATGACAAATTAACATTTGTTAACAACTAATAAATGGCTACCTTTAATACATCCAAAGACAAGATAGAATTATATTATCTAAAACAAGGAGAGGAATCATTATGAAGTTCATTTACTTAAAAATACAAAACAATCCTGGGGCTTCCCTGGTAGCTCAGAAGTTAAGAATCCCCCTGTCAATGCAGGGGACACGGGTTCAAGCCCTGGTCCAGGAAGATCCCACATCCGGGGAGCAACTAAGCCCGTACACCACAACTACTGAGCCTGCTCTCTAGAGCCCGTGAGCCACAACTACTGAGCCCACGTGCCACAACTACTGAAGCCTGCACACCTAGAGCTTGTGCCCCGCAACAAGAGAAGCCACCGAAATGAGAAGCCCACGCACTGCAAGGAAGAGTAGACCCCGCTCGCCGCAACTAGAGAAAGCCCACACGCAGCAACGAAGACCCAACGCAGCCAAAAATAAATATAAATAAATAATTTTTTTTCAAAAGGTAAAAAAAAAAAAGAATGATTAAAAATACAAAACAATCCAATCTGGAACCAAAGTCGCATATAAGTGGTCTTTCTAAAGGCATTAAGCAAGATGTCTTCAGGATGAACTAGTTTTTATCTTACAACTAGCACAAACTGATCAGTTCATGGATATTACAACGACCAAGAATAAAACTAAGATAAAGTGAGTCACGTCCATTTAAAGAAAAATAGTCGGTGGATTACTGTTCGCATGATATGTAAACAGATTAGCAGAAATGGGCAAAATGTTACAGAAATCCTTGAAGCTTGGGAAGAAAGTGAGATTTTGATAGCTTGTTATACTAAAGAAAGAGGGGCAAACTTCTTTTGATGTATAATTTTACACTGTAAATAGACAAGTCCTTTTTATTAAGTAGATCACAAAAGACAATCAACCACCATGACTGTCACAAATTTTTTAAAAAGAAAAATTACAAAAAGCTAACAACATGGCGCATGGTGGTGAGTGAGTGGGGGATAAAGGTATCAAACAGAGAACACTTCAGTTGTTCACAAAAATGAGAAATGTCTGTAAAAGTAGAAAATATTCACATGATCAAACTGAAAAAAAAAATTGTCAAAGGGCTCAATGTCTCAAGAAGTGCTGAGGTTTGCTATTTTATAGAGGAAATTAAAAATTAATTTTTCGCAAGTTTGTGGTACTTAAAGGGAAATAGTGCAAAAAGAAATGCATACTAGGAGTCTGCCTAAGAGTTTATATTTTTAAGTTTACAGTTATTCAAGAACTTTTTCTCAGCTCTCATCAAATCCTTCATAAAAGAAAATTTCAAAGCACAAAATTAATGAGTAGCCGAATTACCACAGGTTTTTTTGTTTTGTTTTGTTTTAAATACCTTGCTAGGCTGAAAAGACAAAATAACAAGGAAAAGCTGGACAGACAATGCTAGTAAAACACTGTGGGGCGGAGCTATGTGAAGCACACATCAAAAAAACAGAAATCCAGGGCTTCCCTGGTGGCGCAGTGGTTTAGAGTCTGCCTGCCGATGCAGGGGACACGCGTTCGTGCTCCGGTCCAGGAAGATCCCACATGCCGCGGAGTGGCTAGGCCCGTGAGCCATGGCCGCTGAGCCTGCGTGTCGGGAGCCTGTGCTCCGCAATGGGAGAGGCCGCAACAGTGAGAGGCCCGCTTACCGCAAAAAAAAAACAAAAACAGAAATCCAGGACACTTTCCAAAACCTAATAAAACTTACCATTCATTAAGATCTAGACATTGTCCTAAGGATTTTTCACTGGCATTATTTCATTTCATCATCATCAAAACCCTGCAAGAGAGGTTTTAGCCCCTCACACAGCTAGTAAGTGACAGAGTGATAATCTCAACCTGTTTTCATGATTCAAAAACTCACAAATTCATGTTCTCTCTACTATACAAAGGGTCTCATGATTGTAAAATTTCAAAAGCTACTTACAACCAAACAACAGGATTGTCACATCCTACAATATAGCAACATCTGAATAATAGCTTCCAAAGGAAGTCTCTCTTCCTCTTTAAATCCCTAAAAAGGAAGAGCTAAGATTTTCTGACGCTGAAGCAGCATTTGAGTGTGCAGTGAGTCTACATCCCACGTGTCTACTAAAGCTGATTACCTTCATTCACCCTAATTCACAATCTTTGGGAGCTCCACAGGATTCCATGGAATTTGAACAGAAACAGAATTCTAGAGTACAAATACCCATCAAGCTTCCTTAGTTTTGCGTTATCAAATTTCAGCAATTAGAGCTAGAAATTGTGGGACCTCACAACACAAGATTAGGAACAAAGGGCTACAAAGAGACTTCCTTCATTTAGGCAGAGGGAATTTACTGAGATGTGAGGCAGAGTCTCCTGTCTAAATGATTAAATCACAGTATCTACATACCCACTCCCATTTCCAAATTTAGTAACTAACGAATCGACTTATGAGGATAGATCCATTGGTGGGGAAAGGGAATTTCCATGGCAATAAAAAACTGGTGCCGTATCTCTTCATGTTGTTCATCTCTATGATCAGATATGTCATCTGATATAATCATATATGATAATGCAAGCATGGTGTTACAGACAAGCATGGCTACCTGGTCCAAAGACATCTGCTTGGAATAACAAAAGTTTTCCATTATTATTGCTCACATACTTTTCATTGTGAATTTTATGTCTGTAGTACTTGCTAATATTTACAAAAAGAAATATATAAGTCACTGTTTTTCTTTTCATGATACCTTTGCCATCTAAAGAAGACAGTAAAATTTATCAACATTGGCCAGTGAAACTTTAGGAAAGTGACAAACTTTAAAATATTTTTTCAACTATATTTTTCCTGGAGGTAGAGTGAATACCCAGGACACAATTCTGAACCGCAAATTTAGTTATTTAAGGAAGAATATGATATGTCTACCTTCAACTGAAAGATTACAGTAGTTAAAGGTAACTACTTACACATAGTAGTCAATAAATATTTAAGTGAAGGATTTAATATATTAATATACTGCATAAAACTCCGATTTTTCCAACATAACAAATCTAACTCAACTCATATACCTTAAACATAACGTGTCTGTACAATAAACTAATATACAAAAATCAATGTTTTTTTCATACGACCTTTTCTATACAAAATAAGTATATGAGAGACTAAAACCGGAGCAAACAAAGAAAAATGTTCTCTTACATGCTGTGCTCCAAAATCTCTCCACTTGGGATACCTCTTCTGAGAAAAAAAAGTAGAATCGAATAATGTATTTTGGCAGAAACTTCTTCAGGTAGACATAATATGGGTGTCATAAGGAGGCATAAGATGAGCCTGTCAGATAAATCATTACTAAGGCAATTAGATTTTTTTAAAACATACCAACAACATTATTCACTATAACGCAACTACTTGGTTTAAATAACTGACACCAGAATCTCTCAAGTTCCGATCAAAAGAAAGGCATTTGAGAAGTAAGATATACCATTCACTGAATAAAGGCAGAAATTAATATTATGGGGAAGGAAAGGGTAAAGAAAGGGTGTGATTACGACTAACACCAACTTAATTCTTTTGCCTCTTAAACTTAGTCATGTTTACCCTTAACTACTCAAGAACAAACAGAAGTTGAACATAACAAGATACTGTTGTAATGTGTGGCCCATAAAAAAGCAACTTACCTGATACTTATTACATCCACAAACATAGCTTTCAAAGGATTTATAAACATTCTGTAAATAAAATAATTTGACCTAATAAAAGAAATTTGTTTCCTGAAAAAAATTATGGTATTAGAATTATTTACTTAGAGCTTTCTAGAATACTTTTTTCACTGATTGCATCCTCAACCTGCTTTAGCCTCCTAAAACCCAGGCCCAAACAGCTTGTTCTCCATCTAATATTATCTCTTTTTAAAATTTATTTATTTATTTATTTTTGGCTGCGTTGGGTCTACGTTGCCGCACATGGGCTTTCTCTAGTTGCGAAGAGCAGGGGCTACTCTTTGTTGTGGTGTGCTGGCTTCTCACTGCAGTGGCTTCTCCTGTTGCGGAGTACGGGCTCTAGGCTCATGGGCTCAGTAGTTCTGGCACACGAGCTCAGTAGTTGTGGCTCTCGGGCTCTTGAGCACAGGCTCAGTAGTTGTGGTGCACAGGCTCAGTTGCTCCGTGGCATGTGGGATCTTCCCGGACCAGGGCTCGAACCCATGTCCCCTGCATTGGCAGGCAGACTCTTAAACACTGCACCACCAGGGAAGCCCCATCTAATATTATCTTGAATCGTAAATACTCAAGGTAAAAATATCCTCTAAAAGAAAGAAAAAGGACATTGGGTGGGGAAATATAGCTGTAAGTCTTTAAGCTCTTCTTGTAACCTATTTCTCTCCACAGACTTTTAGAGATTCATCAAGGTCATGATGTAGTCTCTCAATCACCATACAGACATCTCCTTGACTCATTTTTTTTTAAATTGTAAACAATCTTCATCTAATACAAGTTATTACAAAAGATGCTATTCAAATAAACCAAGTGGTAGTTTTCATGGTATTATAACAAAGACTAAACTATTTATTTACACAGTGCCTTCTCTCCAAATGACAATAGTATTTGATGACTACAGGCACTCAACAGATACAATGCCGAGAAAAAAAAATCCAAATAGTTAAACTAACTTCCAAACTATTTTATAACATTTGTTACCTCGATCAGACTCGTACTAGAAAAGTAAACAACCATCTGCAACCGCTTGTTCTAGCTCCTTGAAATAAAATCTGGGTACCATCAGTAAAAATATTACAGCTAACACTGGTGATCATGTATAAGTACAATCCAACATAATTCAACTAGTGTGCCCAATCCGTACATCTCAGAGATTCAATTTTAATTCTGTTGTAAGAGGAAGTAATACGACAAGGAGAGAATTTTGATGCATTCCTTTAATCATACTTATTCTTCCTTATATCTAATTAGCATCAACTACCTTACAATTCCCCTTTGGGAACTACTGGTTTAGTATACTCTTTTCTAGGCCTACTTCCTTCTCCATTCAAAACAATGCACACAGTCATTCAGAAAATACTAAAAGAACAAAGGCCTTCATGAGGAAGGGCGGGGGAAGCTAGAGAGCTAGCATGAGACAGTCAAGAATCAATGACAGAAGAGGGAAATAAATCTACTACCGTTTAACCATGTTAGTAAAACTTTATGATAAAGATGCAAACAACAAATTAGGTTTTATAAGTATGCTAAAATGAACCATCAACCCATATAAATACAGAGCACGATCTGAGTCTATGACGGTTTATTAAATAAACTAAAATATATAAACATACAAGAATAAGTCTTAGCCATAATCAGTAAATTGCCTTATCAACCAATGTATATAAAAATGAAGTAAGTGTTTGATTACATGACATATGTGATTCACAGAATGGCACAAAGTTTGATTAAGAGAAGAAAATAATTGTTAAGTACAGGAGGTGATATTCCATTTCTTAAACTGGGTGGAAGGTATATAAGTGTTGGCTGCATTATTAGTCTTCTACACTTTACACATTTTTACAAATATTATTTCATATGTAGTCGGTATCTATAAAACAATGTTTAAGTGCAAGAAAAATCTGAGCAAATATTTGTTGGAAAAAAGAGGTAAAAAGTACATATACATCTAATCCGTTTTTGCTAATTATTTTTTTTAAATAAATAGAGATCATAGGGACTTCCCTGGCGGTCCAGTGGTTAAGACTCTGCGCTTCCACCGCAACGAAGAGTAGCCCCCACTGGCTGCAACTAGGGAGAGCCAGTGCGCAACAACGAAGACCCAACGCAGCCAAAGATAAATTAATTAAATAAGTTTTTTAAAAAAGTTTACTATGAGGTTAGAATTTAAGAAAAAGAAAAAAGACTGCGCTGCCACTGCAGGGGGCACAGGTGTGGCCAGTAAATAATTAATTAAAATTTTTAAAATAGAGATCGTAAAAACGTAAGTAGGTAGGAAAATAAGTTTCCTGTAGAAAACAATTTCTATAGCTCTACACAGAGATCTATATACTATTTCTTTAAAAGCACCACTAAACCTTTGCTGCACACTACGTGTACACACATATACACACAGACATACACACCAAATTACTTTAAAGTAAAACTTCCTACCTCCAAAGATCCCCCCAAAACCAACCTCCATCACAAATATTACCTTAACCCCATAAAAAATACTGATACTCCTCTACTCATAATCCCAGAAATAAATTACAAAAATAAATTCCTAAAGAGAAATGTTCATACTGTAAGTAACTATTTTTGGTGTATGTGTAGGCTTAGCATTTATGAGTCTTACTACCTACTTGGGCCTATCCACATCTACAGTATTTGCTTTTTTATGATGGGCACCTGCATTTTAATGATGTGTGTCAATACTAATTTGATTGAGGGCAATATAGTATATTTATGAAGAGCACAGAGTGTGGAGCCAGAGTTCCTGAATTGGAACTCAGCTCTTCCACTTGCTAACTAACTAATCTATTTAACATCTCAGTGTTTCAGTTTCTCATCTGTAAAATGGAAATAACAGTACATACCTCGTAGGGTGTTGGAACTGATTAAAACCTGCGTAACGGGACTGGCACAAAGTAGGTGCTATGTAAGGGTGAGCCATTACTACTAGCACTACTAGTAGTACCATCTTCCCAAACGTACTGAAAACATTCTTAGCAATTCGAATTACTGGCTAAAATTAGATACTATTAAAAATAGACATTAAACCTGAAGCCTGACTGACAGTAAGTTTAAAGCCCTGCAACTCTGAATAGGTGATTATAAATCTACATACCACTCTATCAAGAACAATCTGGGGAGAGCGGCTTTCCAAAGTGCAACTATCAATTTCTTCCCTTACACAAGGGGGCAGTGATAACAAGAAAAGAACTGGGCTCTGTGACACCTCCTCCTACAGACAGTAGGGGGTGGCAGTACATATGGCTTACAGTCAGAACAAAACAGGAAGACCCAACAGAATTGCTCTTTATTCTCCTCAGGCCCTCTCCTCTATGTTTTAGGCCCAACACAGCCTCAAGGTGAGAGACATATCAACAGAAAAGACTAAAACCCAAAATTAATCACCAAGGAAAATCCAGTTTTGCCTTTGAAGCAAATAATCCCTCAATGGCTAAATCTGGATCCAGGAGGAAGCCAATCAGTATGAATTTTAATTATCTGGCAAATTACTTACTGTTCTTCTTATAAGAACAACATTCAGGCAAGTAACTCCGTTTCTCTGCAAGAATTGTAACATAAGACACTAAAATCTCATCAATAATTAACTATACCCTAATGAACACATGACGATATTTCTGCTTGTTTCATACTATACAGACATACACTCACTGAATGTATATAAGTTATATTAAATAGCTCATGGAGCTGTCTTTTGTTACTTCTGAAATTCCAGCTATGTTCTGACAATCCTCTCAAAACACAGATGTTCTTCTTAAATGGAAGTCACAATGTTTTGCAGCATGTGGGTAATGATATATATATACACACACACACAGAGAAAGAGAGAGAGAATGAGAATATTTAATATTTCATTTCTGTGCTCACATTCCTGAGATGATCTACCTGGGAAATGCTGCAAGAAGCGTTCCACTGACAGTATCCATGTTGTTGCTTTTTATGCCACCTTTATTGTATTCAATTTTTTTCCAATTTTCCACCCCAACATCAAGAATATTTCACTACTGTCATTCACCATAATTAGCCACTGCAACAGCTTTTGGCTTCAAACCCTTAAAATGCCTGAAAATTTATCCCTTTTGTTCACCATATTGTTTTGTTTTCCTCATTCCAGAAATTTTCACCTGTATAAAACTGAAGAAAGGGGCACCTATGAAAAAACGTCCCTTTGCCTAATGATCTTGAACTCAGAATTATGGTCAAGATGTGGGGTGGGTTTTTTGTGTGGTTTTTTTTCTGGTTTGTTTTTTTCCTTTTCCTGGAGAGGAGCAGAGAAGACAGTGCAAGACACCCAAAACACCAAATCTTCTTCCTAATATTAATTACCATTGTTTATGTTTGGTGAAAACCATTTTAAACATTCCACACCTGGAACACAACACAGGATACAATTATATCAGTGCTCTACACGCTGACGGCAAACCCTGGAATTATTTAGCCCTATTTTTTCTTTCCCATCTCACAACCAGACACAATTTGCTTGTTTCTTTCACGTGGGCACTATCTCTATCTCAAAAAATAGCGTATCATAGCTCCTCTCGATTCCCTGTGTTAAAATATCTAGCCATGAGCCTTATTAATCTCTTCTTAGACTACGCCTCCTTTCCCAGAGAAATTAATAATATCACTAATAACACTTCTACCGTGAATTTCAACGCCACACAGGCCAACCCACCCTGTGCCTTACCTGGCACATTTCACAACTACTTTCATGCTGCATTCAGGGGGCACATTTTACAACTCGTTCTGCACCACATTCCCTGCCACGTTCAGCAATCTGCCTCGCATCTCCTCCTGGGTCCCCGTCATCCGGAGACTCTCTCGGTACCAAATTCCATGACACCTTCGGTGACACCGAAGTGGCCGATCCCGGACCCATCCGAAGCCACCCCGAGTGCCACATTTGGAGCCAACCTTCCCCACGCCCTGGACACCGGAGGCACTCCACTGCCCATTTCGCTGCCTCCCCGCTCGCCCCCGCCCCTCTCCCTGGAGCCCAGGCGTCGGAGGCGAACGCCGCTGTCACTGAAGCAACCTTCCCTTCCCGGGCTCCCGGGGTCTCTCACCTGCCGCTCTGAGAGGGGTTCGCTGCACCTCGGGGTCAAGCCCGAGTCCCCGGGGTCTCCTGTGAGAACCGCGCCGCCCGCCGGCGCCGCCCGCGATCCCAGAGCACCTCGCTGCGCTCCGACGCCCGCTGTGGGTCTGCGTCCGGGAAAGGCGCGGCCCGGCGGCTAGCGCAGCCCTCGGCGGTCCTCCTGTCAGCGGCGGCGCGGGTGCAGGCTCTCGCCCAGCGCGGCGGCGGCGGCGGCGGCGGGCAACTTGCTCCGCCTCGCGCGCTGCACAGCCAGGAGGTGAGCGCGAGGGGGATGGGAACGGGGGCGGGGCCGCCCGAAGGAGGCACGGAGGGCGGCGGCTGGAGGGCAGCGCTGGCGGCCCCGAGACCGGCACTCGGAGCGCTCGCAGCTTCACCCGCCGGGCGGGCGGCTCGCACGAGGCAGCTGTACAACCGGGCCCCGCCGGAGCAGCGCACCCAGCAACCCGCGCCCGACCGGCCGCTCGCTAGCGCCGCCGCCGCGCCGGGGGCGTCGCACCCTCAGAGGCCGCCCGCAGCCCCGCCCCCTCCGGGCCGGGGTGGGGAGGAGCGCGAGCGCGGAGGGAGAGCGCGTGCGTGGGAGCGCGTGCGTGGTGGAGCGCGCGCGCCCCCGCCCCCTCCACCGTTTGGGGGTGGGGAGTGGCGGAGAGAGAGAGAGAAGACCGAACCGTTTTCTCCGCGGAGAGGTTTGGCCCTGGCTCTGCCTCTCTGTGAGGTCTGGGCATTTCTGTTTCCTCAAGGGGCTTTGGCTGGTGGGGTCGTGGGCATTCAGTGGGGAAGAGGGGAGGGGAGCTCAATAGCAGACAAGGCCCTGGATGGTTCGGCTCCGCCCACAGGGTGATGTCACTCTCGAGGTGCTGCTGCTGTCACGTGCGCCCACTTCTGGGCCTGTCCTGATGCTTTGATGGCCAGAACGTTCCTCTAGATTTTCCCCACTTAAGTCACCTCATACACATATCACTCCTAGAAGTCGTCGAACCCTACAAATGTCAGTTATTCTTTCCCTGATGCTTAATTGTAATCTGTAGACTGCTTCAAAATGCCATAGTTGGCTGGTGTAGGAAACAGAATGAAGTGCAAAACCAGGAACGGGGGGATAGTGGGGAGGGGAGAGAGAGAAGGGAGAGCTATTATCTAGAATCATTGCTGAAATTCACCAACCACAGCTTGAGAGCCTGAGGTGAAGTTGTGACGCTGCTTCTGTTGCTGCCAGGTTGGACAAGAAGTAATGTGATTTTAAGGGCTAGTTGTTAAGGCACGGAAAGCCACCACAGCAAAGCCTCCTTGAAGGTCATATTTCCCTCAATTCCCTCCACCTAGATCTTCTTCCCCTTTACTCTTCCTTTCCTTTGCATCGTAGAACAACAAGTCAACTGTGGAAGATATCGGCACATAAATTTGTTCGTGTGCTTTAAGATGATGCAAAGCAATCACTGTTACCTACTCTGCCTGGTTAGCCTTTCTTCCCTAAACCGAGATGACCTTTCGTGGTCATCCATTCCTTAATGAGACACCATGATTGGAAATAGATACACCAGATTACTTCAGTCAAGCAACCTGTGTCTGTGGTGTTTCTAAGATGGAGAGATTTGATAACAGTCCTTTAATCTGCTGCATCCAGGATTTTCTTTGTGTTTTTTTCAAAATTAGCATTAATTTCAGAATAATGCAGGAAATTGAATATGAAGCCATTTTGCAACAGCTAGTCTCTACAGTGAATTCTTGAAAAGTCAGAGCTAGAGCAGCTTTGAATACTACAGCTAAAATGGCAAGATGAAGGATTGGTCTATGGAATCTTTTGGTGAAACTCCAAAAAGATTACTCCAACTAAAACCTATTTATCTATGGTGATAGAGTCAGAGTAGTGATTACTTTGGAGGAATTGAATGAGTGGGGGGGGCAGGAGGGAGCCTTCTGGGTTGCTGGAAATGCTCAATACCTAGATCTTGTTAATGATTACAAGGGTTAACATATGTGCAAAACGATTGGTGTGCTTTACTCTATCTCAATTTTTAGAGATTTTTAAAAATTGTATACACAAAAGAGGCATTACAGCGTCATCAAGATGGGAGTCTGGAAACCTAGATTTGAATGTCAAGTGTCACCCACCACTTACCAGCCTATGAGACCTTGAGCAGGTCTGAGCCTTCTTTTTCTTTATCTAATATGGGTGATGTTACCTCACAGGATGGTTGTGAAGATTAAATGAAATTATATTTGAGAAGTACTTATCACAGAGCCTGGTATATAATAAACGCTCAGGAAACATTAGCTATTGTTATGCTATTCTTGTTGCACTCAAATTTACCTTATTTAATTCTCTTTTGGTCTTTTTATTTATTTTAAAGATTACTTTGATTCTGAGCCTTTGCCTGTGAGTTTCACTGAGCTAATAACATTCCTTTCCCTAAGAAATAACAAAAGGTGGTTGGGGTGTAATGTATTGGTTTTCAAACTGGTTCAGGTGGTAATACTTAGAAATTATGGTGCTCATTGTGGAACACCATGAAATATTGTTAAATTGAAGTCTGCCATATGGACTTGACACAATTTTACTAGCACTAAATCTGGCTACATTATGTTTATGCAGATCTCCCACATATTAAAAAAAAATGTATTTTTAAGAAATAATACATCTGCGTTTTTCCTCTACAATTTGTTTGCAACTTTTCACTAGAAAGTACCAAAAGTTTAATAACAATTCACAAAATGAAAACCTTTAAATTCCTTCTTCCTGGAAATGGGAAAAATACTGTAACTGTTCAATCTTAGCAGCAGAGCTCTTTATTGGATTTTCCCACAGTAAACTCTAATAGCTGTGACCCACAGGGTCTCTTGCTCTGATGAAGTGAGTAACTCTGACTCACTATCCTCATCATACTTCCAAAGATCCGTCTCCATTTCTTTCAGCCGACCTTTCCAAGATCCCATGTTCACACTGAGCAGTGCCAGTGCCCACTGGAATGAACTTATTGCTTCTCTGTTTCAATCATCTAACATGATGCTACTCAGCCAGTTCTCTTCCACATAGTTCTGCTGTTAAGTCTTGCTGTTTGCTGCCACACTCTTAACTTTGTGGAGGAAACAGTCTGTCCCTGACAGAGGTAAGGGTGGGGTACGGTAGGGATGGAAAGCAACAAGGTAGAGAGAAGCCACCTCTGTTCTCAACTCCTCACCCTGATTTCCTTTTCGGTCACTAATACCTGAAATCCTGAGAATGCTTTTTTTTTTTTTTTTTTACCTACTAAAACTCCATTCTAGTCAAGATGATAATTTAGTCTATAACTTAAACTTGGAAACATAATTTATGCCATGTAAGAGGAAGCTGTAAGTAATTGTCCATGAAGTGGCCCAACCATACTCTATACCTCCCAACTTTTCAGTGCCATCTATACCATTCAAAATTACCTTCCTTGCTTTGTGAACTCTGCACAATCACTCACCTCTGCATATGGCATATGTCTTCCCTGGCACCTCCAAGTCTCTTAAGTAAAGCATCAGGGCCACCTCTCTCTCCCTACTGAATAAAGAGTCATAACATCTACCATTGATGGATTGCCTACTGGCTGCAAATACTTTACTAAATGCCTTGTATATACTACTTCATTTAATTCTCACAACATCCTATCAGGTAAGTTTTTGTTTTTGCTTTTTTTATTTTATTCATTTGTTTAATTTTTGGCTGCATTGGATCTTCGCTGCTGCACGTGGGCTTTCTTTAGTCGCGGCGAGCGGGGGCTACCCTTTGTTGCGGTACGCAGGCTTCTCATTGCAGTGGCTTCTCTTGTTGCAGAGCACGGGCTCTAGGCGCGCAGGCTTCAGTAGTTGTGGCACACAGACTTAAGTAGTTGTGGCTCGCGGGCCCTAGAGCACAGGCTCAGTAGTTGTGGCGCACAGGCTTAGTTGCTCCACGGCATGTGGGATCTCCCCGGACCAGAGCTCGAACCCGTGTCCCCTGCGTTGGCAGGTGGATTCTTAACCACTGCGCCACCAGGGAAGTCTGAGTTGCTATTTTATTTCTTAACAAAGACAAGCAATGGCGTGAACTCTAAATAGACATGTTGCAAGTCAAAAAAACAGACCAGAAAGCAACAGGTGTGAATGAACAGAAGAGTATTTACTAATCAGGGGAGAAAACATCAGTTGGTAAGAGGTTGGAAAGGTGGGACAGGACTGAACTGAAGTGGGTACTGCCCAGGAAGGGAAACACCCTGGAATCTCTGAGCAGAAGAGTGACAAGAAGACAGTGTTTAAAATATTCATCTCATAGGGTAGATTTGAGCATGGAGGCACAAGTAATGATGATATGGGTAAGATACTACTATTACTATTTAAGGAGCTAAAGAAGAGGGCAGCTTTAGTCAAGAACTGTGACAGTAGAGATAGAAAGGAATAGTCCCAACAGCCATTGCGTGGGAAGAATTAACAGAACTTTCTGAATAACTGAATGCAGAGGGTAAAGAACAGTGAGAAATGAAAATACAGCAAAATGACAAGACTAACTGCCTAGAAGACTGTGGTGCCTGTGACAGAAGCAGGGGAGTCAGAGGATTGGTGTTAAGGAGAAGAAAGAGATGGTTTTGGCATATTTTGTGTTGTAGTTCTTTACTGCTTTTGAGTTACAAATCACTTCTTTTGAGAATCTGACAGAATCAATGAATCCTTTTCTCAGGAAAAAAAAATGGATTCATTCTTATACATGTTATATGATTTGTAATGGACACCCATGGATTTGGCTGCTGGAGAGCTCTTGACCCCAGCTGGGCACATTAAAGCCCTTTCTGGAATTTTTGTACTTTATATCCAAAGGATCAAGTCGATCTGTCCCTAATAACTGAAGCAATGGATGCTGTTAGCTGATGTGTTTCCTAACACATGAGCCTGAGAAACGAAGAATGCTCAAATGCATTTGAGTCCATGGATCCTTCACATTCCTATTCTTGGATTCCAGGACGTTTCCTAGTCCTTTGTTGAAATTCCTCCATGGTTCAGCTTGTTTGAGCCTCATTTCTGCCATTTATGTGAGAGGTCTGGTTGATTCGCAGGTTAAAGGTATCAATTGAAACCCACCCATGGGCTCCAGGTAAGAACTCCTAATTTAAAGTAACTTGGAAATAGCTAGTAGAAAGATGGGATTTAGGTGAGAAAGGGAACATAGTGAATACTCAAGGAGAGGGAATATAGCACAGGTGTATAAGAGCAAGGACCCTGGACCCAGACTGCACTCAAATCCTAACTTAACTGTTTACTAAATGCGTGACCACAAGCAAGTTACTCTACATTCCTAGATTTCAGGATACTCATCTGTGGATTGGGGATTAAAAACTATACCTACCTTATAGGGTGGATGTGAGGCTTAGGTTGGTACAGGTGCAAGTACCTGGTCCAT